CCCACCAGCCACTTCTCCGAAGGAAGATGGCACAATCTATTTCCATAGTGATACTGCCTTGGAAATCTAAGGAGGGGTCGCTATTAGTCGGTCCGACTGGACGGCAAATAACAACAACATAGGTAACTTCAGTCCCTGGGAGCACAAACAGTTAAACACCCAAGTCCTAGCCAAAGGGCAACTCAGAAGACAGGGCTGAGGATCTGCTTCCGAAAGGTCACAGCCTTGAAAACCCTTTGGAACAGTTCTATTCTGCAGATATGGTGCCGCCGTGAGTCAGAATCAGCTCGATGGAAACTAATAACTACAACAGGGTAACTCTGTGTTTGACTTTGTGAAGAATTGCCAGATTATTTTCCAAAATGGCTGGACCATTTTACATTTCCTCCAGCAATGTGCGAGGGCTCCAGTGTGTGAAGTGATGCTAGGACATTTCCCTAATGCAAATGGCTAATGATGTTGAGAATTGTGGTGTTGGTGAAGAATACTGAAAATACCATGGGCTGCCCTAAGAACCAACAAATATGTCCTGGAAGAAGTGTATCTGGAATGCTCCTAAGAAGTGAGAATGACCAGACTTGGTCTCACCTACTTTGGTCATGTTCTCAGAAGGGATGATCCCTCGAGAAGGAGACCATGCTTGGCAAAGCAGAGGAGCAGTGAAGATGGGGAAGACCCTCAACAAGATGGACTGACCCAGTGGCTACAGTGATGGGTTTAAGCATACTGGGATGATGTAGGATGGGGCAGTGAATTGTTCTGTCGTACACTGGGTCCCTAGGAGTCAGAGCTGACTCAGTGGCACCTAACAACAACATCAACAACAACAGCAACAAATAGTGTCGAACTCATTTTTTCATGTATGTATTATTCATTTGTATATCTTCTTTGGAAAAAAAAAATCTGTTCACAATGTTTGGTCATTTTTTAAATTGATTTATATTTTTACTCTTTATATATTCTAAGTATAAATATAAATCTCTTCCAGGTATACAACTTGTAAATCTTTCTTTAGATTCTATGGGTTGTCTTTTCACTTTCTTGATTGTGTCCTTGGAAACACAAATGTTTTGAATTTTGGTGAAGTCTCATTTATCTATCTTTTCTTCTTCTGTTGCTTGTGATTTCAGCGTCATATCCAAGAAATCATTGCCTAATGCAAGGACATGAATACGAAGACTTATGTTATGCCTAGACTTCTTTCTAACAGTTTTATACTTTTGGCTTTCAAATTTAGGCTGTAATTTTCTTCTGAAGTTTTTTATAATGTTGAGGATAAAAGTACTAGAAGAATATCCTCGTGTGATTGCACTTGAATCAATATTTTAGTTAATAATCCAGTTCACATATGCTATAGTGATAAAATAAAAATTTCTTAATAGTTGATAGAATCTGTTTCTCAACTGTTATTAGATATGCTGAACTCTAAAATTATTGCTAAATTAGTTAGATGTTTTGCCTCTTTTTTTCCCTTACAAGTCTATTATTTTAGATTTTATTTAATAAGTATTAATTGATTATATATCCTGTTCAATCTTTATCTGGGCTTAGTGCCAAGTATGGTAGGGAACTAATTGATATAGTAAATAGCACCCAAGTGACATGGACGATTGACTTGCTTACTTTTAATGATAGAACAACTTTAGCAATAGGATGAATATAGATCATTGCATGAGGGAAATTAGAGAATGAGAGTATACCTAAACAAGATGATTGTAGCCTATTGCATATCTGTTGTATGAAAAGTTACATATCACCCTTGGTGCCTTTTGGTGTCAGATTCTATGGTGATGTGTCCAGACCTTTACATTTGGGAATATATTTCAGATTTGCAAGGTATGATTAACTATTTGTATTTAAATACTTTAAGATCTGTTTTTGATTATTCTTTTTTAAAAGAATTGTTACTTTCTATGTTCTCCAAATTCCTTCTTTGCTTACGGACCTAGATTTATAAATTTTATGCTTTCCTCTGTTATTGTGTTGCATACCATGATTACTCATCCATATTTAATTAATTTGGGATCTTTTTAGATTTTTTTTTCTTTGTTTTAAAAATACTGGCTTTCTGTATGCTGTAAATTCTCTCTGGTAGCATAGTGCCTAAGACACCTAAGTGCTAACTAGAAGGCTGGTGGTTCAAACCCACCAGCCACTCCTCAGAAGGAAGGTTGGGCAATCTACTTCTGTAGTGATACCACCTCGGAAACCCAAGGAGGGATCTCTGAGTTGGATCAGACTCAACGGTACATAACAACAATACTTACAATATGTTGTTGTTGTTGTTGTTATGTGCTGTCAAGTCAGACACGACTCATAGCGACCCCTCCTTGGGTTTCTGAGGCACAATCACTACCAAAGTAGATTGCTCAACCTTCTTTCTGAAGAGTGGCTGGTGGGTTTGAACCGCCAGCCTTCTAGTTAGCACTTAGGTGTCTTAGGCACTATGCTACCAGAGCTCCTACTTATAATATATGTTATTTTTTCAATATAATGAATTAACAAATGGCAGTCAGCAACCTTTAAAACTTAATTCTCTTCAGAACAGAAAAGGCTTATTCACTAGCAAATTAAATTCCATTTATTAAATTAAAATATGCATTTTAAATTAATATTGAAAGTGAAATGGAATAACATTGAGGGTAAATATTACTTCTGTTTATTGAGCAAAAATGTGTTAATAATAGGTGATTGGGTTGAAAATTAAAAGAACAAACTTTTCAGAAGCACTTATCTCGATAGTCATTTGTCCCCAGACATGGTTATTGCTCTCTGTATCTGAATTATGTTTCTAGATGGTAGTTCCACAAATAATGGCCATTGAGCCTTATAAATTATAAATATTCAAAACAATATATTATGCAAAATTTTCATCTTCAAATACCAATGAACAAAAAAAAACTAAACTCACTCCTGTCGAGTTGATGATTCTGACTCATAGCGACCCCCTTTGGGTTTGTGAGGTGGTAAATCTCTATGGATGTAGATTGACCTGTTTTCCTTCAGCGGAGTGGCTGGTGAGTTTGAACCACCAACATTCTGGTTAGCAGCAATCAAATGCCTTAGGCACTACACTACCAGCGCTCCTTTCAAATATCAATGTTGTTGTTGTTGTTATGTGCCTTGGAGTCAGACCTGACTCATAGAGACCCCTGTTAGGTTTTGGAGGCAGTATTACTATGGAAGTAGATTGCCCAACCTTCCTTCAGAGGAGTGGTTGTTGGATTTGAACCACCAGCCTTCTCGATAGCAGTCAAGTGCCTTAGGCACTACGTTACCAGAGCTCCTATAGGTCTTTCTGTTTCTTGTACCCCTCCTCAGTGCCATTTTCATTGCCATCACATGGAAATTATTTGTACTGATCATGGTTCCTTATATGGTAATGTATTAATTTATTATTTATCTCTCAAGTATTTATTTTATTACATGCCTTAGATCTCTCTTCTTTGACTATAGGATCATTTCCCAAAGTCAGATTATTTTTATTTCTGTTAGACTATTTCAGTAACCCTCAACTACCATTTCACCTCCATCAGTCTTTCACATTGCAGACCAGAAGCATTTTCTGATACATAGGTAGTTATGTCACTGCCCCCTCAAAAACCCTTACCCGAACAGAATGATGTTCTTACTCCTTAGCATGATGTTCAAAATCTTTTTTGCTCTCACTCCAAAATTACCTTTATATCCTTACCTACCACATCCCTTATTAGAAAATGTATGATGTATAGTACCTATTCCTACCTCCCTGTACATTTTTGCTGATGGTGTTCCCTCAGTCTGAATGCGTTTCTACCTATTCTTTACAACTCAATTAAAATGTCTTCTTCTCAGGGAGCTGCCTCTTATTATTCTCCACCAAGAGTTACTTTTTTTCTTTTTTTTCCCCTCTAGTGCATTTTTTAAAAGGAGCTCTGGTGGCACAGTGACTAAGGCATTTGACTCTAACCAGAAGGCTAGAAGTTCAATCCACCAGCAGCTGCTCCACAGAATGAAGATGGGACAATCTATTTCCATAAAGTTTTATCCCTTTGGAAATGTGGGTCACTATGAGTAGAAATCAGCTAGATGACAGTGGGGTGTTTTTATTTTTATTTTTATTTTTTTTATTTCTTGGTCCTCTTTGCAACAATTATTTTATTTATACTCATGTTCTTCAGTCAGTCTTACCTGGGTTCAAATCCTGGCTGTACTGTTTTAATCCTCTTGCATTCTTGGACAATTGATGGAATTTCCTACGCTTCTTCCTCACTTTAAAATAGATATAATATTTACACTATGAGGAGCTCTGGTAGCATAGTGCTGCAGGCACTTATCTGCTAACCAGAAGGCTGGCAATTCAAACCCACCAGCCACTCCTCGGAAGGAAGATTGGGCAATCTACTTCCGTAATGATACTGCCTTGGAAACCCAAGGAGGGGTCGCTATGAGTCGGGTCCCACTCGATGGCACATAACAACAACAACAGTTTATACTATTTATAGATTATTTTTGATGTTAAAGTCTGATATGATAAGCTTACAAAGTAATGGTAGCTTTGGGTGTATTCTCATTACTTGTCTAATATTCCTAGTAGATAGTAAGTGCTTTAAGGATAGGCAATTAGTTTTATTCCTCTTTGTACCCATTCCAACAGGTTAGTCCTCAAATAAAATCTCACTTCTTACTGTTACTTGTCATAATTCATGGACCATGTTTAAGCTAGTTCATCAGAATTAACATACTAATATATTGCTATATTGTCTCATTCTGCAAAAGAGTTAGGATGACTTATGAGATACATTAAAAATAAGAATGAAGCATAAAAAAAACACTGTTGTTGTTGTTGTTATTTGCCGTCGAGTCGCCCCTGACTCGTAACGACCCCTCCTTGGGTTTCCGACTAGTAGGTGCATTTTGAATAATTGAAGAGTTTAATTTCATTGTCCCGAACTTAAGTGAAACAAAAACTGTAGATAAGGAAGTGCTAAAGCTTGTCTTCATTCTCTCATGTTTTGTAGGATCTCGTCTTCGCCAAGAGGACTTTCCCCCACGGATTGTTGAGCATCCTTCAGATGTTATAGTCTCTAAGGGAGAACCCACCACTTTGAACTGCAAGGCAGAGGGCCGGCCAACACCCACCATTGAGTGGTACAAGGATGGGGAGCGAGTGGAGACTGACAAGGATGATCCCCGGTCTCACAGGATGCTTCTGCCCAGCGGATCCTTATTCTTCTTGCGCATCGTGCATGGGCGCAGAAGTAAACCTGATGAAGGAAGCTACGTTTGTGTTGCGAGGAACTATCTTGGTGAAGCAGTGAGTCGAAATGCATCTCTGGAGGTGGCATGTAAGTGAATATAATGAACGTCATAAATGGCATACACATTTAATTAATATTTTTTTAATAAGAATTGATTTTGTTTCTATAGGTGCTTACTACTTATAGAACCTAACAGTCAGCACATTCTTCATGACTTTCCTTTCCTTTATACCACTAGTGAAAATAATGTCAAGCCAGGGTGGTTGCAATAAATTCATTTATATTAAGTCATTATGTAGGTAGGTGATAATGATGTTGCTCATATTTAAAATTTGATTTATTAACAAATGATATAATTAAGTATTAAAGTTGGTTATTTTAAAAATAAAAGGCTATATCTAATATGGCACCAAATATGAGGCATAAGTCCAATATTGTACCTATTAACACGTAAGCAGTTATGTGTATTGATAAATCAAGACATTAATGCTTTGCATCAATTTGGGTTTTAGCTCAATAACTTCAAGGATCATTTGCAAAACAAATTCAAACATAAAATAAATTTCTTTTCCTGTTTGTAAATGAAGATTTAAGGTTGTATTGTATACAGTTCTATAAGTTTTGATGTTAACCTATTTTGGTGATAGATTTTATTTAAAATGGATTATCAATAAGATGTCAAAAAATGTGCCTATACGAAGTTTGTAGTCTTCAACTTTCTGGTTGCACAAGTAGGCCTTTGTAGATAAAGGGGATTGAAGAATTTTTAGGATGCAAGGTCCTTATTTATATAGCTGAGAAGGGATTGATAAATAGTAGCTCATGGTTTCATGTCTCTTTTTAGAGTTTATCCATGTAATCTTATGCTACATGGTGTCAAATTAGATCGTAAAACTTGTAGATGTGTACATTTGAGATTCTCAGCACTATACATTGTCTTTACACATGAAAGCATCTGAGTAGAAAAAATCCTATTATTTCTTATTTAGACAGCCCAATTAAAGCTTTTGCTTCCCAGTATACAGTCTTCTGATTTAAAGTTTTTACCACGAAGCCAATGATGCTTGAAATGTGTCACCAATAAGAGAAGACTAGAAGACAAATTTGTTTTGTGAATTATCTTGAAATACAAGTATTAGAACTTTAGGTGACCAATGTTATTCTGTAGTTTCATTTCTATAAAGTGATACTTGAAAAGCAGTTAAATTTAAGACTAAATATTAAATACTTAATAATAATAAGTTTAATGAGATTTGACATGTACATACACACAAAAAAAGGTAAATATTCCTGAATGTTACACCTTTATTTTGAAGTATTATATATATATCACAGGCTTCATTTTCTTCATCTATAAAATAGGAGAATAATACCTGCCAGGTTTAACACAAAGGGATCTGGTGGGAACAAAATTAGCAATATAATATGGCATTGAAATAGTTCAATCTGTTAAAAAAAAGTTTCAGAAATTAGATGCTTAAGTGACCTAAATTTATACAAGTTAATGGGGAATTCACTATAATATCCTGAATCTTCTAATTTTTAATTCCAAGGAATGTTGACATATTTGGAAAAGCACTCTAAATGAAATCTGACCTGTTCATAAAGCAAAAGTAATCATTTTAAAACATATCATTTTATTTTGTTTGCTCTACACCAAGTAATTATTTTAAAAAAAATAAATAACTTTAAATTTACTTCAGAATAATAATTTTTTCTGAATTTTTCAGTCATTTACAGTCATGCAGTTATACACTTTTTTCCCTCCAAATCGTAGCTTTGTTAGACTTGCTCCCCACATGCATGCATCTTAAGCTTTTATTTCCTCCAAGAAGGGTTGCTCTCCTCCCTAAGTGCATCACTAATAATGAATCAAATTGTTTTAAGAGGAAGATTTTAAATCATGATCTTTTTTTTATGTAATGTGGCAGTTGCTTTTTTTTTTTCCCATTTTTAAATGAATGAGCTTTGAGAATTGCTTGAATTATTTCTGACCTAGAGAGGAAAACAAGACGGTTTCTAAATTGGATTTAGCTAGTGAATACCAATCTTTCTTATAATGCCTTGTCAACATTTCATGACATTTGAGGAAATGCAAGATCAAATAATACTCATTTATGTGCTGCTCATGCCTTTCACATTAGCTCATCAGTCTTTTTTGCTTTGTACAACATAAGAAGTAATAAAATGGAAATTTGAGATAAAACATTGTGATTTTTCAATACCTGTTGGTTAGCAAAGTGTAAGAGATGGAGGAACAGCTGTAGGTGATAGAAAATATTTGGTCTTCACATTTTAGAATGGTCAATATAAAAACTCAATAATGAGTCATCCATCCCGCCATCCATTAAAGGAAAGTGTACCCTTACTGTTGTGGAGTAATGAATAAGACACACTCCATTCTATTTCAAAGAACTACTATCTAGGTGAGATGATAAACATGCAAATAGATAATTAATAATAACAATAAAAATATATAATTAAGTAATAAAGGATATTAAAAAAAAAAAAAAAACTCACTGCCATTGAGTTGATTCTGACTGCAGTGACTCCCATTGGGTTTCCAAGGCTATTAGTCTTTATGGAAGCTGACTACCTCATTTTTCTTCTGTGGGGCGACTGGTGGGTTTGAACTACAGATATTCTGGTTTGCAGTCAAATGATTAAAACACTACACCACTAGAGCTCCTTGAAGGGTATAATAACACACTGCCATCTAGTTGGATCCAACTTATAGTGACCCCTCCTTGGGTTTCTGAGGTGATATCACTACAAAAGTAGATTAGAGGCATATAAAAGATGCTGAGGAAACTCAAAGAAAAGAATATTTTATTATTCCTAAGCAGATGGGTTTAAAAAGATTTCTAAGAGGATATATCATTTGATCTCTGACTTGAAGGACAAGTAAGAATACATCAAGTGAAAAATGAAGTGAAAGATAATCCAGGTAGAAAATGGAAGCCTAAATGAACACTGTGTTTGGGGACATGCAGTAGCTTGATGTGAGGTTGTCACAAGATTATGGAGCTAAGAAGGCTAAGTTTCAGAGTTAAGCATATGCCACATCATAATATTAGACCTTTATTATTATTATTATTAGATAATTAAGATTCTGTGAAAGAAAATAAAGATTTGGTTAAAGGGATGCCAACTGAAGTCAGAGAGAAGTTAAGTTAAATATTTTAGAAAAGTGATGGTGTTAAATTTTAAATTGTAGCTATAAAGATTGAAAGGAGGAATTGTTTTGAAATATATTTAGAAATTATAAGTCACATCATTTTATCTTCAATTTGATCTGGGGAAGAAGGTGGTAGGGAATGGAGGGAGATTCCTAAATACATTTTTTAGGAGACTGGGAATATAGTGCTGCCCTGTACATAAGGTCACTATGAGTCGGAGATGATTTGACGGAACCTGTCAAAGCCACCTAACATGGATGTTGTTGTTGTTGTTATGTGCTATCGAGTCGGATCCGACTTATAGCGACCCCTCCTTGGGTTTACTGAGGCAGTATCACTACGGAAGTAGATTGCCCAACCTTCCTTCCGAGGAGTGGCTGGTGGGTTTGAACCACCAGCCTTCTGATTACCAGTCAAGTGCCTTAGGCACTACGCTACCAGATCTTGGGATGGAAAATACCATAGAAGTCATCATAGAGGGAACAGGGGAACGCACCATCTTACTGTATTATTTGACACATCACTGAGATAGGGGTGGGGGTAACAGCTTTCAGTTAAAAAAAAAAAAAAAGAGTTGGAACTGAGAAGAGAGGTCTTTCCAACTTAGAAGTTGAAATCATGTAAATAGGTAGCAAAATGCCCAAGCAATTGAATATTGAAACCATGCGAATAGATAACATGATTGCCCAAGCAGGCTGTGTGCAGGGAATGGATTATAAGAGCTGAGGCCATTCCCACTCTGGGAACAGTAGTTAATATTTAAGAGTGGGCAAAGGAAAGAAGTGCCAGTGCAGGAGGCTCAGAAGAGGTTTAGAGTGATAGGGTATGGGTAAGGCAGTGATAAGACAAGATAATAGTTCTAAGAGTGGAAAAATAAGTTGGCAACACAAATGCCACATGTTGGTCAAGTAAGAAGTGTCTGTGGGCTCTCATGATGAGAAAAGACAACGGCAGCTAAAGAATTAACAGGTTCCAAACTGATGAATGTTTTTTTAAGACTTGATATCTCTTCACTACAGCCATTTGGGGCAGGATAATTACTTATTGCAGGGGTCTGTGCTGTACATTGAAGGCTGGTTAGCAGCATCTCTGTCTCTGCCCGTTAGATGCCAGTAGGAAATCCCTGTAACCCTCAGTTGAACAACCAAAAATGTCTCCAAATTTGCCAAATGTTCTTTGGGGCTAAAATCAGTTGAAAACAACAGATATAGATGTACTTAGTTGGTCAAGGGTGTATAGAGAAGTAGCAAGCAAACTTATCACAAATTTGATAGTGAAATTATTTTTGATCAGAAGTGTGGGAAAGAATGTCGTCTGTTTGCTTCATCTTGATTTTTATTGTTCATTTGAAAAATCTTGGTTTCTACTATAGTTTAAAGTGTGCTGTTGTATATAGGGTCCCTATGAATTGGAAACTACTTGATGGTACCTAACAACAACAATGAAATACGTGCAGTTATTTTTTATAGCAGTCTCTCTTAAATGGCTCTATGGAAATAAACCTGTTCTACAAAATACATTTGTAGTTTTTGGTTTAATAAAAATTTCATCTGTATGTAACTAAACAACATGGTGGAAGGAAAAACAATATAATGGAGATTTAAATCACTTACCTCATGTTTGTTTTCCTTTTTTCTTCGTAGTTTAGGGGAAAAAACAGCAATCCAGGATGTGTTTTCAAAATCAGTGGATCTCAGGAAAAGCCTTTAGGCAAGAAGTTGTTTGAAACATTTACAAAACTGCAGGGTCCACTAGCAGAGCTTGGCACTGAAGAAGTTAACACACAGTTTTCTGATGGGACCACCACGAGAGTAGTGGCAGTGCTGGTGTGGATAGAGTTTCAGTGTGTAAGGGGCAGAAGGAGCACCAGGGGTCCTCACACAGATTGTGGCTGCTTGTGATGCTGCC